TTGAGGAGGGTACGACCACATTGCAATTAGGTTTTTTTTTTGGGTGGAAGTGAAGAAAGAGAAGAAAACTCGAACTGTGTTTGTTTAAGTGTGTACAAAGCAAAGCAAAGCAAAGCTGAAGAAGTTGTGGCACTGTCTAGTGTTTGTGAGCTGGAGGCACTGTCTTTTTTTTTTTTTCTTCTTGCTTTTGTTAATTACGAAAATACCCCTATGTACTTTTCAATTTAATTTGTGACTTGTTGGAAACTTTGAAAACTATAATTAATGGTAGTAGATGGAATTTATTTTGCTTACATAACTTTAGTTCCATTTGAAGTAATGAATGAACATTAAAAAAATATTTGTTTCAGGTGACAGATTTTTGTATCTTTCGTTCACGGGATTTTAATTTTCTAGATTCATTGATGGGATCTTTGTCGATTATCTATCTATCTACTTTATTTTTTGATGACTAATTTTGATTCCATCTTTTGTAACTTCAAGGCCTAGTCTGAAACAAAAAGTCAAGGGTTTCTCACGTCATTTGATAAAGCTAAACCCATGGATGTCATGTGGGTCCCATGCTTGTTCGACACGTGTTCGAATCGCTCGTATCGAATCTTATGATAACTTACACTTCGAAACAGTGTAATGTTTTTTTTTTTCTCAAATGGTTTATTAGAAATTTAGATAGATGTAAAATGTATTGACCAAATTAATCTTTCTATGATTTAGAGAATATACTTAATCATATGCTATGAAGGACTTATTAAATGTAAAAGGGAGTAGTAATTATTACTATGGTTGATTGGTTGATAACAGTTAGTCTCCATTTAATTAATCACATAGCTTGACGAAGAAACTGTAGTTACAGTGTCCACTTTACTGATTATACACAAACTATCATGTCGACCATCTATATGAAAATGATAAAAGTATGTATTTCACGATATTCTGTGTTTCATCGACCCATAAATCTAAAAGTACATAGTTATGCTATAAAAGAAATCATGAGTTCTTGCTTATAAATTTAGAAAATCATTTCAATCAAGAACAAGCTAGATCTTTTGTTGGCTTAGGAAAATTACATGAAATTAAATTCTGACTACGAATTCATGTCATGTGGTAGTTTAAATGTAATACTTAACTGCAATAGTTCTATTTGTAATTTTATATTTATCATAATAAAACTCTCTCAAACTATATGATTTTCATAATCATATCATTGTAATAGTTACATCTCCATTTAAATAAAAAGTATTTTTTCAA